AGAGGCAGTAGGTTAGTAACAAGTGCAAACAAAAAGGGTTTAAAGGGATAGTTTACTCAAAAAAATTAAAATTCATGACATTTCAAACCTGTATGACATTCTTTCTTCCGTGGAGCACAAAAGAAGATATTTTGAAGTCTTGAGTGTTTTGTTTTGTTCATTCAGTGAAAGTCACTGGGGTCCAGTCTTGTTTTGGACCTCGCTGACTTTAATTGTAGATGCGAAATAAGTTTTAACATCAAAGTAAGAAAGTCATACAAGTTTGGAATGATGTGAGGGTGAACAAATGATGACTGTATTATCATTTGTTTATAGCACAAGAAAAATAAGGCAATTACTCTACTTAGCTCGTCACAATTAGGCTGATATGTCAAGATATATACAGTACAATATCAACATACCTACAGTAGAATGCTGTCGCTCAACTTGTTTTTAGACTTTGGATATTCCCTCATGTTACACATTTTCACATTAACCGCTCATAATCAAAATCAATTTACTGTAATCATTGTTTCATCGGCATAATTCACTGCAGTGATGTTGTAATTAGGCACTAACAGACTTTGCTTTATCAGCAGAAAGCACTTTCATTCCATCTGCAAGTAATCAGCGATGTGCTAATAGCTTTGACCACAGTAGCTGTGATTTTAAATGGCTTGATAAAGCCAACTTAAGCTGAGGTTGTGAATGATGGTTGATTCCTGGTTAAAGAAAAAAGAAAAAATGCAATTGTCACCCACCTAGAATATGGCAATAGTGACAAACATGGTTTTAGTAAAAATTGTATTGGTTTCACCAATAATATATTTTGAAATACAAGGCTACATTTATTTGATCAAAAATCTAGTAAAAACATATTAATAACAATATATTCATTTTGAAATATTACAATTTAAAGTAACTTTTCTATTATATAGTAATATATTTAAACAATTAATATACTGTATTCATGTGATGGCAAATCTGAATTTTCAGCATCTATTACTCCAGTCTTCAATGTCACATGGTCCTTCAGAAATCTTTACTGTGAGTTTTGATCAATTTAATGCGTCCTTGCTGAGTAAATGTATTGATTTCTTTCAAAAGAAACCATTAATGCCTAAATAACTAATTTTTATTATTTGTAAAATAAAATATTGGTTACATTTTAGCATACAAGCAGTTTAGTGTTGTGATTAGAAAGAATTTCACTGTATTTGCAGTTTGCTTTTACTTGGCATTTGAAGTGTCCTATACCAGATGTCTAAAACATTGCCAGGTAACTGCCATTAATGTAATATAAATGTACACTTTATTTTAAATCGCCTTAGTGAGAAGGCATCTGCAAAGAACATAATAGTTTAGAAATTCTTCTAGCTTCATTGTGGCATTTATACTTCAAAATCAGGGTTATTGGAATAAAAAGTAAGCGCTCATGGTGGTCTAACAGAAAAAAATCGGACTGTTTATTTTTGGCTAAAAAACGTTGTTTTACAATGAATGACTTCTTCAGATTGGACCTGGTCAGGGACTTTACTCTAACCCAATGTTATTGTTTTTGTCTCGTACAGTTTGTGAAAAGGATGTCCTAACTGTGTGTACCAACTCATCTCATGAGCACGTACATCCCTTCAAGGAGAAAATTGACTTTTTCATTGGCAACGGTGAGCTATGCTAAGATGCATGCGATTAGCCCACATTACCTTTTAGAAGAGGATCTGTATTCAAAGTTTTTAAGCCTTCTATTTATGTGCTGTCACATCAGCCAATCCCTCTCGTCTACCTTGTTCAGATATGAAGTCTCGTTGGTCTCTGAGACGACCTGCCTCTCTAGATGATTGATGGAGAGGAGAACAAAAGTTTGCTTAGATTGTATACAGGATTATTTTGCAGATCATAGAGGCAAGACATAAACTTGTCGTCATTTACTACAGTTCAGCTAGACGAGACAACGCTAGCTGTTAGTGAACTAGACAAATATTTATTCTGTTTGTAGTTTATGTATGTATTTATATACATGTTTATGTTATGTACATAGCAGCAAAGCTTTTCCTTTCCTCACATTCTTCCTACTACAATTATTTGATTGTCTCCGCTACACAGATAAGACGGCACACATCCTGCAGTCATGAAGAATATCTGCCATGTGCTCTTTTGGGGGACCTGATAAGTGTCTGTAACTCCGTACCTGTACGAGATAGCTGGTCAGGTTCAGAAAACAGACGCAGAGATAGGAATCAGGGAGACTTTGGCAATGAAGGAGACTTCTTAGTAAAGGAGTTTCAACATTGTCTTTGAGGCCCTTGTAGAAAGGCTATGAATGATATGACAATAATGCTGTTAGTATTATAACTGACAGAGTGGTGCATTATCGCTGTTAAAGAGGACAGATGAAGATCCTGAAGTAATAGAAGAGATATTGGCACTTAATATTGACTGTGGTGCTGATTATGATATAATCAAAATGCATAATTGTTTATATAAATTTTTCATTTTACAGCACAAAAAGAGCTAATTACTGTGGAACATCAAGTGATATCGGCACATAAAAGGTAGCACATCACTCTTGTTCAAAATATTACAAAAAGTGCAAACTTTGTAAACATTTTTGGCATTATCTCCAGCTTTGCCTCATGACTTTCCTTTCTCAGCTTCTGTGACCTAGTGGAGTACTTTGGACTGAAGCCACGTTCTGGAGAGCCAGAGATTTTGCCTGGCCATGTTTTCACACTTTGGTTTGAATTCTGCAGTGATTTCAAGATCAGGTGGAAGAGAGAGAACAAGGTCATATCCAAACAGAGGTGAGAAGTTTACAGCATCTTGAGCATCTAGCATCATATATAACTGCTCTAACCAAACCACACAGTGTGATAACCTGGGTAATGATGACTTCTTCACTGGCGGTTGTTGTTTTTAGTGATTTTCAGCATTAAAACTGGCTGGAATTGAAACTTTGTGGTTAAGTAAAATACAATCTCTGCTCTTTTTGATTTCAGAATCAAAGAGGCCCAACAGTCAGTGCGCAACATGACAGCAGAGAAAAAGATTGAGACCAAAAGGGCACATGCGAATGGACTGGTAAGAGTCTGCTGAGGTGTGGGTGTCAGATAGATAAGCGGTTCAAACATTAGTAACTATTGTACTTTCATGAATCAGGTTTTTAATCCAGACACTTCTTAAAGGAATAGTTCACCCAAAAATGAAATTTTGCTGAACATTTACTCACCCTCAGGCCATCCAAGATGTAGATGAGTTTCTTCATCAGAACAGATTTGGAGAAATTTAGCATTACATCACTTGCTCAACAATGGATCCTCTGCAGTGAATGGGTGCCGTCAGAATGAGAGTCCAAACAGCTGATAAAAGCATCACAATAATCCACAAGACTCCAGTCCATCAGTAAATGTCCTGTGAAGTGAAAAGCTGCGTGTTTGTAAGAAACGAATCCATCATTTAAGTATTTTAACTTAAAACTTTCGCCATAATCCATAAAGTTAAACGTTTCAAATTAAAAGGGCTTAACAATTTATTTGTTTTATACAAAAACAGCTTTTCATGTCACAAGACATTTATTGATGGACTAGAGTCATGTGGATTTTTGTGATGTTTTTATCAGCTGTTTAGACTCTCATTCTGTCGGCACCCATTCACTGCAGAGGATCCATCGGTGAGCAAGATGTAATGATATAGTTCTCCAAATCTGTAGAAACAAACTAATGTACAACTCAAATGGCCTGAGGATGAGTAAAGTTTTAGCAAATTTGTTATTTTGGGGTGAACTATTCCTTTATACTACATAATGCATGCACAGCTAAATGGGACTTCATAATGATGCATATTTCTGCATATTTCAGAAAGAGAGACTGCGTCTGAAAGAAGCAAGTCTGACCAGCAGCTAACCCCATCTGCCATTACCAAAGAGGACCAGATACGTTTATGTTTAAGACCCAGGCACTTGCAATTTTTGGCAGGGTCAGAATAAGGTGCACCTGCTTGTGTGACACTTTTCCTCAAGACTGCAAAGTTAGAAGATGACAACCTGTCTGTCAGTGTAGTGGATCCCATTCCTGTGTATAACCCAACAACCAATGGCTCACCAAAAATTCCTTTGACCATGTTTCAGATATGAATGAATGCTGCTCAAAATGAGAAATATTTAAGAAATGTTTATATACAAGTTAGCTCGATCTGTTCTGGGATTTTCACCAGTCTAAACAATTAAGGGTTGAAAAAGCAGTCTTAACATTCGACTTGGAAAAGGCAGTAACTTTATTTTGTATATTGAGTAACAAAGCTTAGTAACTTTTTATGCTCATATTAAATCATTACAGAATATTAAAAAAACAAAGATAGTGTACATGTGAAATATTAATATTAAACTACCCTATCAGTTTTATTTGGATGAACATCACACATTTTTATTGATGACAGTTATGTTGCTTCATCACATCTTATTGCCATTTAATCACAGTAATATTGTTCCTTTTATAATAAACTCAACACTGTAAAAAGTATTAATTAATATAAAAACATTTAACTTGTTTTCTGTAATGTTTGTTCACCTAGATTTTCTTCATCAAGTGATTAAAAAGGCAGACACTTGGCACCACATTCTTTTTACATTGCAGTATGGTATAAAGACCAGGGAAAAAAAATATGGATTGGATTTGGGGGAGGGGTGTTTATTTACATCCATAGCCTAATATGTAATGTATCCCACATTACAAATCAAGCCACAAAATAAGCTATTTGCATCAATGCGCAAATCGTGCTCCACACAGTGGAGAATGTAATAATAATATAAGCATATTTTTAATATGTCACTATTTTATAGTATTATAACTTAGCCAACTTGTTTTATAATTAATTTAATTGCATCAATTGTATTTCTTCACAATATAAAGGCCTCATTTTGATGACTGAACAACTAATGATGGAGGAAACAAATCGATCATGCTCCCACATTATTCAGCCATATGAATTTGTGACTTTTAGACCAAAGTAGCCTACAAACAAAGACGTCAGCAAATTTAATCCAGGTCGACAGAAGTACAGCGGCACTGTTTGACGCGGCGCACGCGCTTCTTCTTGGTGCTGGGAGTCTGTCCGGGACAGAAGAGCGTGTAAGTAACGGTAGTGAAACTCTTTGGCTTACACACGGAGCACGACTGAAACGCACTGTCCTCTTGATAAACGTGCCGAGGGATGTAGAATGAGTTGCACTGTCCGTAACAAAAGCGGTTGATGATGGCGCGCGGCTGGCACCCGTCCTCGTAGATCATCAGTTTCAGCGGCTGTGTTTTACACCAGTCAAGTTTGAGGTAACGGCGCTCCGTTACGTGTAAAGCCTCCTGGCTGGAGTCCAGCACCTCGTCCCCGACTGAAGGCGGTCCCGTTCCCCTGGAATTGGCCTGCGGTGTCTGCGGTGACTGTTCCGACTGGTTTGGGCTGTATTTATTTGGGTGAGGAATGGCGCCTTGAAATCCCCCGGTTCCCCTGATCCTCGCCGGATTGCAGAGCAGCCACAAGACCGCGATAGTGACAGCTAATGCGTCTTTAGTCATCCTTTCACATGAAGAAAGAAACATACCATTAAATGTCATTAAATATACAGTAATATATGTAGTTATTTTTACTAAAAAAAAATAGAAATATAATTGTTTTTAATCAAAATATGCTAATTATTTTATATATTTTATCAAAACATTTCATATTCATATAAAATGAACACACCAAACGTAAAATATTTCAAAGCGTATAGTGTATAAAGTTCACAATCATTTAAACACATTTACATTTTTTATATACATTCCCTACAAAATTTTGAGCCAATTGCCCTCTGCAATCCCTCATTTCTATAAACACATAAAAAAAAAATCACAGATGTCATTTAAAAAATAAATACAAATAGGCTATACTCCAGTAGATATGCAGACTTACCTCAGATTAATAATGGTTCAAACTTCTTCACATGGACTGCAGCTATGTTCACAAAGGTCTTTGTGTACCATAACAAACTACGATTAATAATAGGTTGAAACAAATGATACAGAACTCGGAGTCAGATTCAAAATAAGGTCTGGAGCTCTGTTCTGAGTGCTGACATTTCAGAGAATGGGGCAGTCCACACCTCCTCTCAGTCTAAGATCATTCACAGCATTTTGGGGATGGTCCAGTGCTTCAGGAGGGTAAGGAAGCTCATGATGAATGCATATTGTGATGTTTGTAATTTAGATGAATCATGAAGTTAAAAACACATGTCTCCAATTATCTGCACATGAACATATACTTCATTTTTATTTGATTAAATGGTATTACAACAAAAGTTGTACCAAGAGAATAATCATTCATGTTACATTCACCCTTTGCTGCTCTATTAATAAAATGATTCATTTGAATATCGCACATAATTTAATGCTGACTTTACTGTGAAACATGATAAGATTTTCATTGTACAGATTTTATAAATAACACGATGTTCAGGTCTTGATATTGCTTGTAGCAGTTTCAACCTCATCTTCCTCTGGGAAATGTGGCACTGATTTCTTGGCCACCACATTATCCAGCCTCTGTCCCATCAGATATGGATTTGCACTCTGAAACAGTCAGTGACAGATCCTGTGACATTTTTTCTGAAAATATGCAACAGTGCTCCATCTAATAATTTATGCGTTTGAGCCTCTACTGACAAAGAAGCAACCAAAAGGCACAGAAAAATATATTTATAGCTTACCCTTTTTCTTCTTTTCGGCCCACCCTTCAGTTTTTCATACAACCGACCTTTATTCTGAAAGAATGAAAATAGATATTTAGTGCAGTCTGCTACAGACCAGAATCCTGGTTAATTTAATTTAAAGCCCTTAAATTAATCATTTAAAAAAAATGAAAAATCAGTAATCTCCATCTTTTTTCAAGGTGTCAAGTGTGAACTCGCCCACTTCGCGAGTGCAGGGTAGTCATGCTCAGGGTCAAAGAGGTGCTGATGTTTCTGGAATTCTCGACTGAACTCTGCAGTGTCTGGAGAGTTCTCTAAACATCCATCAGCAGCTATAAAAACATCACATTTTTTAAACAAAAAAATGTTTAGGCCATTTGAATTTTATTGAATGGTGGCACTGCTGTATATTTGTGCATTCAGTTATATTTGGACCAACATACCACTGGTCAGGGTAGCCATGGTCCTCGCTGAAGTCTTTGGGAACACTGTCTCCAGTTAACTCTGCAACAATGTTAGGGATGTTCCCATACGGCCCGAGATGCTGGAGTCCCTCATGGGCACCACCTATTGGACAAAGTGTAAAATTACACATGAAGGCAATCACATAATGAGGAGTAGGCTATTATAAGGACCATCAGTGATCATTTACATTTTTTTAAAAACGTGTAATTACCTACAATTATACAGAGAAACTCTTACCTTGGATGCTAAGCGGGCCGACTATGTTGGTGGCCTGGTGCGCGGGATACTCGACCCTGGGCCGCGCGATTCCCAGCTGCTCCATCACACCGTGCAGCAGGCGCTGGATATCCGCCTCCGACACCTGATCCACCGTGCGTGGACTGCGGCCAGAAACGACGGCCATCCAGCTTATAATGCCACTCAAAAGAACCGTGTGTGCCATTTTTGGAGCCGAACCCATCGTTGACGTTCACTACACCGACAATAAACACAACACGTAACGTTAGTGTAAAATTATTGCTGCGCTTTATGCTAAAACGGCGGTTTTAAATAAAGGTATACGTTATATAGCTATATTTTTTAAGATTTTATATTCGCCGAAAAGGTAATGTAAATATTGCGCTATAATTCTGATGCTTAAATATTATTATTACAAATATTATTGAGCTCAGAGAAAACGCGCATCCCTGCTTGTAACTACGTCACAAGTTAACAGGCTTGATAAAAAACAGGCCATTATTTTATAAACGCAAATTAAGAAGCACATTCGTATTACAGCAAAACTAAAACCCATAGAGAATAAACAGCTAACCAAATTTAAAGAGATAACCTACCATGTAATCTGGATTGAGAAAGGTTTGTCGGGTTCAGCACAGATGCCGTCCTCCTCCTCTTCCTCTTCCTCTTCCTCTTCCTCGCTTCATTTGCTCTGCTGCCAAGCAGCGAATCAGCTCACCTCTTTGTTTACGTAGTGGCTAGCACATATCCGTTAAACCATGCTGCTGGGTTTTATTGGGGACGGTAGAAGAGCAAAGTTTAAAAAAATAAGGAATGTAAGGAAAATGTAAAAGGAAATATGTTATTAGCCTAAATAATAAATAAATCACATGCTATGAGGCATGTTTTGTCGTGTCGTCATGTTCAGATAATGTTATGGACCTGTCAGTTTAATCGAATTCTAATATTAATAGCTTAACGTTTACAATGCAAATATAGCCTACAATGCAAGTACATTGGGTTCTTTTTTTTCGCATGTAATCTCCTCTTTAATATAACCAAAACAATAACAATGGCTTAAAAGTAATTCAATAGTTTCCCTGGAAGTATTTTCTCAGGAACAGGCATTATTATAATATTGATGGAATATCACCACTGCATTCACATGCAACTCAGAATCTTTTTAACTCATACTCTGCCTTTTAGTTTACGGTCCACATCTACAGTATGTGTGTAAAGTTTTAGAAATCCTTTGAAACAAATTTTAAAAAAAAATCTACTAAATAGCTCATAGAATTTAGAATGAATGAACATAAATTAAGAGCTTTTGTTGATAAAAAAAAATAGAAAAGGCTGTATTTGTCAGCTCAAAAAATAGTTACATTTTCTTCATCAAATACTCAGACAAAACACAATGCGAGCCTGTTACACATCACGACTTTTATTACAACAGTACATGTATATACAGCACAAGACACAGTACAAATGCATACGGAGGGTTAGCTGGATTGCATTGAAGAGGATTTGAGGTTTAGAAGCACTTCCTGTGGACGATGGAGGGACCTGCCTCATCATACTCCTGCTTGCTGATCCACATCTGCTGGAAGGTGGACAAGGAAGCCAGGATGGAACCGCCAATCCAGACGGAGTACTTACGTTCAGGGGGAGCAATGATCTAGAGGATGAGCATGAGAACATGATTGTAGTTAGACTAAAATTACATAAACAAGCTCATTTAGTCGCATGGATGTTTACCTTGATCTTCATTGTGCTGGGGGCCAGAGCAGTGATCTCCTTCTGCATACGGTCAGCAATACCAGGGTACATGGTGGTACCACCAGACAGGACGTTGTTGGCATACAGATCCTTGCGGATGTCAATGTCGCATTTCATAATGCTGTTGTAGGCGGTCTCATGGATGCCAGCAGACTCCATACCTGTGAGGAGCAACATTGCAAGCTATGTTAGCAAGGGAACAATTGTGATCTAAAGACAGCAACATGGAGTAATGCAATGAGGTCATCTGAGGCCCAGCCAAAACATACCAATGAAAGAGGGCTGGAAGAGAGTCTCGGGGCAGCGGAAACGCTCGTTTCCAATGGTGATGACCTGGCCGTCGGGCAACTCATAGGACTTCTCCAGAGAGGAGGAAGAGGCAGCAGTCGCCATTTCATTCTCGAAGTCCAGAGCGACGTAACACAGCTTCTCCTTAATATCACGCACAATCTCACGCTCAGCTATGGAAGAGAAGAGAGCGCAAGGATATTTTAAACTGGGAAAAGACATGATGAAAACATTTATTTTGCATGGATGAAAAAAGTCCCCTCTTGAGACCAGGGGAGCATTTGCTAATTTCTAAACAAAATTCTACATAAGTAGAATTCTTCTAGCACCCACCGGTAGTCACAAAAGAGTAACCACGCTCGGTCAGGATCTTCATCAGGTAGTCAGTCAGATCGCGACCGGCCAGATCCAGACGCATGATGGCGTGAGGAAGAGCATAACCCTCATAGATGGGGACGTTGTGGGTCACACCATCACCAGAGTCCAGCACGATACCTGTAACATGATGCATTGGCATGTTAAGTATTGCTTCCTAAGTATTACAGATGTATATAGGAATTAAAACCTATAATGTTACGTATTGCTTCTAGTGACTTAATAGACACTGACCAGTGGTACGGCCTGAGGCGTAAAGAGAGAGCACAGCCTGAATGGCAACATACATGGCAGGGACGTTGAAGGTCTCAAACATGATCTGAAAAGAGGGGAAAATGTTAGTTTCAGCCAGGGTTATTATTGTTAACTAAAACTAAATCCATCAAAAAATAAGCATTAACTAAAATTAAACAGCTAGTTGTCAAGGCAACATTTCTAATTTTTCTCATTTTTATTTAAAGCTGAAGTAGCCTACTAAAATAACTACAACTAAATAAACTACAACTTAAAGTCAATCTTAAAAGACGTATTAAAATGTAATAAAAAAAATACAAAACACAACAAAATTACTGAAACTTCAAATTAAAATTAAAACAGAAAATATAAAAATCAAATTCAAAATATTAACAAAAACTACCAGTAATGGTAAACATACTGAAATGATTTTGGGTTTATGAAAACGCAAGTCTAAGGGGCCACAAGATGCTAGAGCATCCATGAAAAAGTTCAGAGAAAAATTGTGTAATAAATAAAACTCACGAGAATAATACATAAAGTACATTTTCAAAAATGAGTTAAGATTTATGTAATTTTACATTAATACAATTAAAATATTGACATTTTTTACAGTACAAATGGGTTTGAAAATATATGGCTGCCATTACATGCTGCCACTATAGGGCATCATCATATTTGTATAAAGTTTGTAAACCCCAGCATTAGCTTACCTGTGTCATCTTCTCCCTGTTGGCTTTAGGGTTGAGGGGGGCCTCAGTGAGCAGAGTGGGGTGCTCCTCAGGGGCCACACGCAGCTCATTGTAAAAGGTGTGATGCCAGATCTGAAAACATTTAAATATGTTAATTCATAGAGGTGACCAAACACAGGATAATAGAAATAAAATCTCTTTTATATTTGCTTTTAATGAATAATAAAAATTCAGCATTCTGTATTAATTCTTTAATTGCTACCTTTTCCATGTCATCCCAGTTGGTGATGATGCCGTGCTCGATGGGGTATTTCAGAGTAAGGATACCCCTCTTACTCTGAGCCTCATCTCCCACATAGCTGT